CTCTGCCTTTACCCAAGCTTAGTGCTGAACCCTGATAAGGGAGGTCAGAGGGTTTTCCCGCCGGCCCACACGTACCTGTCTGCTATGTAGCCAATATGTATGGAGCCAATAAAAAACCCAGCGTTCACACATGACTGGAAGAGGTCCAGCTTCCAGGAGTCCTCACACACCAGGTTAAACTAAAAGAGCAACCACAGTTAGAAGCAAAAGAATGAAATGAGGATCTGGCTCACATCCACGAGTCTTCTTTGCTTCAGTTAAAGATTTAAACTTGTTATGGGTCAACGCCTGTTTTATCAGCACCCAGGAACCCTACTGACTTAACTAAGTGTCCGACGTTAAAACCGGGGTCAAGCCCTTGAGCAGTTTCCTGGTATTTCTTATTCATGTCTCGTCTCTTGTTACTGGCAGGACATAACTGAGCTATTGCCTCTCAAAATCAGGACCCTAATTTGTGTTAGGCCTTGTTGATCAAATCAGCACGGACCTGATGTCACCCTGCACTTTTCAAACAGCTTTTTTTGTGGCTGATGGTGAACATTTCTAAGCAGTTCTGGTTGCCTCATGTCTTCATGTGCTGCAGTAGTCCCTGCAGACCCCCCAGGACTAAGGGTGATGCCCTCACTACAAGGATCCTAGAAGCTGAATCCTACCTCGTCCCACTTTGGGGGAGCATCAGCTCCCTGAAGGAGGGTGGGAGGAGGCATCTGCCTCTGCCCCCAAGGCCACAGCATTTTCTCTCTGCTCTGCTCTTTTGCTCAGCGAACTTCTCCTGCAGCCTAACCTGCCAGGAGACCAGGCATTTTGCATCCAGGGCCAAGCTTTACACCACATGGGCACCCACATGTCTTCTCTATCTGGCCTTACTTCTCATACATTACTTAAGTAGATACACACATAGAGGCTACCAAAGAACAAGCTAATTTACAAAGCTGTCCCACTGTGACTGGGAATCCCTTCCCATCTTGCTGGTAGCTGGGTTTATTTAAAGCTATGCATCTTTAATCTGCTTTGTAGAAGTCCTGGGTCACCCTCTTCTGGAGGGGTGCACATCAGGCCCTCTGAAAAGATTTGGTGCCTCTTTTCCTCGCTTTAGTATCACACAGTCCACACTTTGTGGGAAGAAGTATACTTACAGCGCACTTTCTAAAATCTAGCTCCAGCCTCTTACAAAACTATAAACGCTAAAGTTACTGGAACATGGAATTTACCCACTCTTGTGGTTGTGGGAGATGCATGGGGGGAAAACCCTGACTTCCACCAGGACAAAATCAAGTTCATCATCCCACACACTGGTTTATTTTTGAAGTTAAAGCACCTAAAATCCTAAAGTACTCTAAGTAGCTTCAATACCATTTTCAGTTTATTCACACATCTTCTGAGAATGCAAAACAGCCACTGGCTTTTCTGCAGTTTATTCCTGACTTAACTGTTTAATTGTGGAGGCGATGACCTTCCCCCCTACCCATAGTTATTCAATCATATTTGAACCAAACTTTAAAAGACTTTCTTAAAAAAAAGAAAAAAGAAAAAAAAACAATACAAAACAAAAAACCAAAAAAAAAGGGAAAGA